CGATGAAGCAGCGCGACGTGTGTGAAGAAGACGAAGGACACGGCCACATAGTCCTTTGTAACGAAGGCCAGCAAGTGCTTTGTGACGCACGCCGTCGTCTCCTCACGGTTAAATTAAAAAAAATGTGTTCTTTAAATTTCAATACCTGATGTTGATGGGCCTTTTTCACTAGATCCAAGACCAGGATCTAGAAATTCAATAAGAAACATGTTGTCTTTTTTTTACCGTGCCGTTTCGTCACGGTACCCGCCAGGATCATGCAGTGACATAGGGACACAAACGGAGCGCTATCGGCGGATAATGGAATGTAAACCGAGCGGCCGTCGGACCGGGCTGGACGGTGACGGCCCTCCCTGCTGCCCCGGGTACACATTACGCTCGGGGCCCGTGCGACTAGCGCGACGAGCTGCTACAACAGGTTCTTCGTTACACCTGTCCCTGCGGAGCCGGCCCGCGCAGAGTTCATCCGTGGCGCACGGGGGAGAAGAAGGGAAGAGAAAGGACATGGAGAAAGAGGAGAAGAAGAACGAGAAGAAGAAGAAGAAGAAGAAGAAGAAGAAGAAGAAGAAGAAGAAGAAGAAGAAGAAGAAGAAGAAGAAGGAGGGGCAGAGAACAACATCCGTCTCAAGTCCCTTGCCGCCATTCCCTGCTGTCCGTCTTCTTATTCCTCTGCTTATTCGCAGCACAGCAGACGACGAAGACGCCGCCCGTCTTGCTGGCAGGCGTCGACAAGTTGGCTGCCCTGCCCCCGGTCCCGCGCGGCCCTTCCTGCTGGCGTCATTCGGCCGTTGGCAGCACTGACGAGGCCGCTATCTTCCTGCCGCGCATTGTGAGGCCGGCGGGGGGGGTCTCTGGCTGGGGGTGCCAGGGGAGGCGGCGGCAGGAGGGACGGGGCGAGGAACAATAGCACGACTTTTCTGGCACACGCCGAATTGCTTGTTTTCGCAGACTACTTACAGTGCGCAATTCCCATGAACACGCCGCGCCGCCGAGCCGAAGCGAGTCAAAGAGGCGGCTCCGCCACCCCCGGGAGGAGGAGGGGGGGGGGCTGGAGACGCCATGCAGAGGCCACAGCCCGGCCGGCGCCACAACCAGCGATGCACTACAGGGAACGCCACCGCTGCCCTGAAGGACGCTGCAGGGCGGGCGCAGGAGGGAGGTCTCAGCGCGCCAGGACATAGAGGACGCGACGCAGGGCGCTCTTAGCCCGGCTAGAGATGCGAGCCGGGACGGGGCGGGGGCGGGGGGGAAGGCCACTGCACGCTTTGCCCAATCGACCATATTTAAACGCCGATCGTCCTTGCTATTGCTGGATTAAGCTCTA